TTTGGTGGTTGTTTCTTTAAACAATTTAGGTACGCCTCCCGTGAAAGGTCTTTGAAAAAGAAGGCCATTTCTTGGCCTTCTGTTTTCTGTCACTGCTGTTGAGGAGAGGTAAAGCAAAGCCTGGCTTATGGAACGCTCTCCACACGGGACAAGCCGTTCTCTGTTCCTGCCGCAGTTGTATAGTGAGGCCATTCAGTGCGTGGACCCGGGAAGATAACATGGCACGCTTATTTAATCGTTTTCTATTTGCTCTCCTATTTTGTTCCGTCATTAAACTGTGTTAGGATTGAGCATTGGGAGACCCTTTTCTGGCCAAAAGAAAACACAAGTGGTTTGTGGACTGTGAGATTTACTCACACAGATACTTCCAGAGGATTGGAACACCCTGGCTGTGCATCTGCAGAAAGGAGCTGGCGGCATGGGCCCTGGCCTCCCCTCCCGAGCGCAGGCTCCGTGCCCAGAGGACATCATAAATCACTTGTAATTTATGATGAGCCCAATCGTGTGTTACACCCTGTGAGTTGGCTGGTGTCCTGTACATACTATGACCTCCCTTCTCTGGAGCATACAGGGACTTTTTCAGATGAGCCATAGGCAGGGAGCCGAGGCTTTTCCCTTTGGCTGGCCCAGCCAAGGGGTAGAGGAAGGAGACGACAGAAGGCTCTTGTTCTTCGAGCTTTGCCACAAGCCTCACTTGCTCTCTCTTCGATCGGAGGTTGGGAAGTGGCAGAAAACAAGAAGACCGTTATCATTATCAGTCTGTTTTCTTTCATCCATTTATTCCACAAATTCCCATTTTTTGAGTGCCAGCAGCCTGCACTGTTGGGGATGCAGCAGTAAACAAAACCGGGTTTTGATTCTCACCAAGACCACGCTGACACACAGAGTACTAGGTTCTGTGTCGGGAGGTGATGACGTATTCTGCAGGTTAAAAAGATGGACAAAGACAAGAAGGGGAGCAAGCTGTTCCACACTGGGTGTGCAGAAAATAAGGTGAGCTTAGAGCAGGGACTTGAAGAAAGTGCTAGAGTGAGCCATGAGGGTTCTGTAGAGGCGGCACTCCAGATAAGGACCAAGGCCACCAGGCAGGGGTGGGTCTCGGGTGAGAAGCAGCCCAGCAGGGGCTGGGGCAGAGAAAGCCAGGAGGGAGGAGTGGTAAGGAGAGAAGACAGTCGTGGAGGGCCAGGCTAGGGGTCACCTGGAGACCATGCCAAGGACGTGAGATATTACTGAAAGTGAGATGGACAGCCATGGGAAGTCTTTGGAAGGCTGATCCTTTTCAGACACTTGAGAAGCCAGAGTACAGGCATGAAGTCAGGAAAACGAGGGCCATGCACCCTCCACGTCTTAGAGAAGAAGAACGTGGGCTGTTGTCATCAGCTTTGGGCTGTTCAGAGCTTCAGTTCACCGGGTGCACGGTGAAACCGAAATCCTGGTTTTGCTTGACCTCGGTATAAAAATCACACATGCTTTTTAAACTGGGTTAAAGTAACCATGAACCATTTACTGAACCGGAGAGAATGCTTCCATGGACAGACCCAGCTACTACATCCAGTGACAAGTGTCCTGCCACAGCTGTGAGGAGGGATCCCCAACGTTATGGCTGTCCTTGCAAAGATTAGTGCGTGCTTCAGCATCAAGGAGCAGCTGGTGGAACGAACACGTGAGATCAGATTCTAGGGGCTTCAGTAACCCGCTTTGCTCTCAGTGAGCACAGCGCCAACCCAAGCTGCTTTCCCCTCAGAGAGGATTTCGTCTGGTCTAGAGCTATGGGGAGCGTGGGCTTGGTTAGGGTGCTTTCGACTCCTTTTGAGGCGTACCTTCCTAAAAGTGAGGGTGATGGGCAACTAGAGCAGGCTGTGCCAGAGCGCCCGTCCTGCCTCCCAATGTTTGCAGGCAGGTGAGCACATCTCAGGAATGTTCCCGAAATGGCTTTGGCTTTGTGTGGCCTGTTGGACTAGAATGAACTCTCAGATTCATTCCAATGCAAAACCCTTCTGAGCCTATGAAAAGCGTCCAGTGAATGTGCTCTGCAAACATACAGGCACTGTATAAACAGGAGGCAAATATTTTAAAAGATGAAGAGTGAAATACTTGTTCTTCTGGGAGAGCGGTGGTTGGAACTTACTGCCCGAACAGCATACCTTCCACGCTCGGTCGCCTGCAGTTGGTCCTCATTGGCCCCGCACACAGTTGTCTGCTTTATGTGTTAGAAATGTGCTCAGCCGAAGACCAAACAAATAGCCAAAGGCATTTTCCTATCAAGGCCCCTTGGTAGGAGGTAGAGCCGAAGAACAAAGCTGTGGGATTTGAGTCTTGGCGGGAAGCCAAGCTAGCTGCTTCAAAGCTCTAGGATTTACAAGGAAGAAAGAGGAGGGATTTTTAGCCGAGATTACGTTAGAATGAAAGCAACGGAACACTTAAAAGTAAAATTAAAGCATGCTCTGGAATCCTTGACAGAAAGGCAGAAGCATTCTGGGCTCTCCGATGACTTTGGAGAGCGAGAATGACAGCTTTTCAAGGTGCTCCAAGCAGAGATTACAGAGCAGCCGTGATTAGTGACACAAGATCACGCGGCGTTTGAGCTGGCTAAGTCGCCCTCTAGGGATTGTTCCGTCCCTCAGTTTACCGATAGCGGATCAGAAGCCCCGGAATCTGAGGAGCCTGCCCGATGCCACGCAACCAGTTGTGCAAGTTCTGGTCCTAGAATCCAGGACTTCTGACGGCCATGTTGTGTTTCCAGCCACTTTGCAGAAGAAGCACACAATTGAAAGTTGTTTCCTAAGAGCAAGGGGTTAGCCAGCCACAATGACTGTATTCTAAATCGGCTGTGCCTTTGGTTTCCCAGGATGGGGCGTGACCCTCCTCCTGGCCCAGGTTGCCACCTATATCCTCCCTCTTAGCAACACAGCCTGCGGTCTCTGTCCCCGGCCCCAGGAGTAGGGGGGCTGAGACCGGGCTGTAAGAGGCCTCCGGGGCCTGCCTCCCAGTCAAGCATGAATGGCTTTGTACGGTCCTGGGGAGACTGCGTGGTCGGGTCCTGCCAACCCCCTGCACAGCCCCAGCAGCGCCCCACAGTGTCGTGGTGGGTGTTGTTGTTTATCTTCCCGTGGACAGGCCTTCCCTCCTCTTTGACGAAGGCCCTGCAGGAATTGAAGCTGTGTTGAAAGAACAGCACTTTTTACGGGAAAGAACTCCCATGAAGGAACAGCTCCTGCGGGCCCCCTCCCACCCCCACACCAGATAACTTTGTCCTTTGAAATCTCCAGCATCTAAGTGAACTCTTGTTTGTCCCTTCTGTAAGGGAGGGGGAGGGTTGTGTAAAGGAGGAGGGGATGGTTCTGCATGTGTTCCCATTTGGACTCATAAGATGTTCGTTACCATTTTTCCCCTGTCCCTGCATTCACTTGGTCATTCGTTTCCTTCGTGGTTTACATTCCGATTCTGTCAAAAAATGTGTTTGACAAAACCTAGAACAAAGAGCACACGTGCAGTCCGTAGAGTATACAGGGAGTCAGGTCTCTGAGGAGGGGAAACAGATTTCACCCACAAATTGTCATATGGAATTTGTTCTGAATATGAAACTTTACTCTGGCCTTTCTGGCAACCAGGATAAAAAAGAAATCCACAAATCCTAGCTATCAGAAAGTGAAACAAATTCCAGTCTCTTCAAGAGAGACTAAGTGTTGCCATTCTTGGGCTCATGGCCTTACTAAACACTTACTGAGGACTTTCCGGTGCTTTAATGCAGAACTCCCAACCCAAGAACACCCCTCCATCCCCCCTCTCTCTTCAAAGTGCCCTTGCTTTAGGCTACCTGGAGCACCACTACCCCGTCACCCCCCGCAAAAAAACAAACTGTATTCTGAATGTTATCGTAGGCCCTATTTGTATGTGTCAGGGTATGGCTTGGAGTAATGGCGTCTAGTTTGGGTCACGAAATTATGTTGTTCAGGACATCTCTAGGGTTTTATAAGGACAAGAGACAGAATTGTAGAGGGGGCCAGCATCTGGTCCTGTTGTGTCTACCCAGACTCCACTGAGGTGCCTCTGCTTCTCCCAAGGAGCCCTGTGCCTCTTCTCTGTCCCTTTCGTACTGTGTCAAGGTGCTGTTTTGATCAGGGCATCCAGAGGGAAGAGAGTTCTGTGGGACGCACTTTGGGGAGTGTTGGCTCAGAGGGTTAGGAGATGACATGACCAGGTGTTAATTTGCACACCTTTCTGGGCCCTGAAACTGGGCAGTGGAGCTTGCAGTTACACAGACACGTGGGGTTCAGGAACCAACGTTCCAGCGTTGCACACATACAAGGTGAGTACTGCAGTGGAACTGTGAGCTCCTCCGCTCCACTCTGAAGCGGTGACTGGAATTTCGATTCTTGCCGAAGAAGGAAGAAGCAGTGTTGCGATTCCCGTCCCTTGCATGCCTTTTGTGAAAGCACGAATCGACTCCATCCTCCTGAGTCTTGACAATATTTAAGGATGGCAAGGAACAGAGTCCCAGAAATCTGATGTGTGTCGGTCTTTCATACTAGATCGTGTCAGAGAGGAAACACTGAAAAAGTAGTCTATTCTCTTTGGTTTACTTGAGTATTTACTGAAAGTGTACTTGTTTTTTGGGTTTTTTTCTTACTATACCCATACATGTTTTCTACATGCGTTGCATATTCATAGAAACATATGTTTTAGAATGCATCATTACCAAAGACAGGAATATTTCCAAGTGAGATATAGTTGCTGTGAAATAACTTGTCTGGATTATTGGCCAAACACCATCATTTGAAAGACCAGGCACAGTGGCGGGGTTTTGGGTCGAGGGCTGAAGTTGTTGCCGGTGTCCTGATTATGTTGACTCCAGTCACAGGTGTTGCTGGACAACTAGGAAAACTGGGGTTTGGGCCCCCAACTGAACAATGTGAATGTGCTCGATTCTACTTGGAATGTTTTTCATAATTATTTTAAGCAATGACTTGATTCTTACTTGTGCTTATTCTTTTTAAAAGTATTAGAAAGGAAGATATCCACAAGACAAAGTAGAGAGGAGCTGATAAGAAGGGGAGTTCTTAAGGAATTGCCTGATCAAGGTGAGGAAATTAATCATACATTTAAAATAATTTGATCCTTCATTCTCTGGTCTTTCTTTCATTTTCTTTTGAAATTTAAGATGATCATGGTCTTGGGGAGATAAAGCACTGAGAGTACCACACTCCAAGAATCTTGCTTTAATTCAGCATGCCTTTGTGGCCTGCAAAGAGTCTAAGTTCTTCCAGAAAAGAAATTCAGTGACCTTTTTGGTGAGTCCACCATACTGTCACTCTCAGCCGGAAGCTCTACGGAGCCACATTGTAGCTGGAGACAGAGATAAGATACACATTCTTCTGTGACTCCTTCTCACCTCTCTTCTTGAGCTTCAGTCTTTCCATACAAGTTAACTCGATTGTTAACCTAATTGCGGAGTTTTAACTTGGCTCATGCATTTGGTTTCTTAAGTCTACCAGTAAAAGAAAGGAGAGAGAAAGAGATGGTAAACATATCTCTCTTGTCCCTTATGATGTGCTCAAATGTACAATCAATAAATAAGGCATGAATGGGCAGATTAGTTAATTTGCTTTATCATCCTCTCAAGTAATTTTCCTAGTATTCTCTTTTCATTTCTTTGGATCTGTGTTTTTCACCTTTTCACTAACAGTTATTTCCAAGTATTTTTTCCCTACCTCTAATCTGCCTCTCCTTTTTTCTCTGTCCTCCCAAGGGGAACTCTTACTAAAAAAGTCAAGGATTAGATGGAAGCTGAGATAAACCCTCAAAAGAACACACCAAGATTGTTTACTTCTCCAAATAAGTAATACTGACTAATTTTCATTGCTCTGACTACTACTGAAACTAAAGAAAATATTTGAAGCAACATTGTTCATTTACCTCCTGCTTTCCTCCAAACATTTACTGAGATATATTATTATTATTATTGTACTTTTATGGGAGCAAATAAAAAGTGATAAATTCACAACTGTGCTTGAACAACAATAAAAAAAGAAAAAAAGTGAAAAGTTCAAATTGAAATAATAGTACTTCTCTTTTCCTGGTATGTGTTCCTTGCAAAGAACTTAATATCTTCTGGTATTCATTATTCATAAATCCAAGTGACACACTCTTTCCAACATCTGAATAACCTCAGTGGAGCTGGGAAACACTTCACTATTTTACTCCTGCTTCAAAGAGAATGAGGCAATCTGGAGTGAATACTACCAATTTTTTTTTGAATCCTCACAATTTTAAGTATTTTACTTTGATTTTTGGCCTGTTGTACATTTCTCACTCCATTTTATGAATGAATTTGGTCCCTAACTCTCTATTACCTTCAAGCTATTTATTTCCTGCCTGGTACTTTTAAAAATAAAAAATGCACATCCCTGACCTTTCTTCTTCTTTGAAGGTCAGTTTACAATGTCAAAATTTGTATCCTCTCTAATCTCCCTGGAGGCCATAGAGGAGTTACAAATCCACTGAAAGCCGAACGGGGCATAGTCACCTCTATTTAGATATTTTAAAGAGGGGGGAAGGAAAATTTATAACTGAAATTGTTACTGAGTATTTTTTTGTGTTTGTATAAAGCCTTTTATTTAAGCTTAGTTCAAGGTTGTAGGATGGAGAATGGATTAGAAGTTAAAATTGTGGTTAGTTCTACATGTGAGATTTTTTTTCATTGGAAACCTCAGATTTGATTGTATCTGAAGTTAAATTTATTCATTGTTTTTTATTGTTGTTCAATTGCAGTGGTCCCCATTTCCCCCCATTACTCTCCCCTGCCCTACCCACCCCCCACCTCCCACATTCAGTGAGTATTAAAGATACAGATTAAAGTCCCCTTTTTTATCCAATTAAATATTGTAGCTAGGAAAGAGGTTACTTTCTCTAAATACAAGTGACATTTGTCAATCTAAAGAAATACTGAATATTGCCTCATTTTTATTCTTCCTAATCTGTTAAACTATTTGCATGATGGATTATAATTTCATATGCTTATTTCCCAAAATATCAGGTTTATTTGACATTTTTATTTAACTTTTGCATACTGAACATTAAAAGTTTTAAAATACAAGAAAAAAAGAGCAAAAACAATTTTTAACCCAAACATAATTTAATAGGTATAATGTTTGGGAAGTTATAAATTACTGAATTCCACTTTCCACCTCTTGCACCATCCCTATATACAATTATAGAAATTATGAAATACTTGGAAGTTCCTAATGATGCCTATTGGAAATAGAGTCCTTCACCCTTTATACCAAAAGCTGAAAAAAATTCTGGCATTTTTCCATAAATAATTATCTTGAGAATTTCAGTCTGTTTTCAGCTCTAACCAAAAACTAGAAGCCGCTGTGCTTTGTGACAACCTCCCCTCTTCTGCGAATGAGGATTCATTCTCTGCCCTGATCTTCTTGACCTTGCCTGAGCTCTTGACAGTGCTTGTCAATTACGCCATTCATTCAGTGAGCCAGACAGAATTTTAAAATCTCTCCAGCTACCCTGGATTTGACCTTGTCCCATCCCACACCTGACCCTCCCTCCCAGCTATTGTTATTCCTTTTAAATTAATTTTTATACCAATTCTAACTTCAGTTTAAAAGTTCAGCAGTTGATCTTCTCTCCTGAGAAGTTCATGGTCTAAGTCCAAGTTCAGTCCTCACCTTCTGGTCTTTCCGTCCATGTTTTCCCTTAGCTTGAACTTGAGGGCATGCAGATGCAGCTTCCTTTCCTTTTCTATCATCATATACTTTCTGACCTTCTAATGAGTCACTCACCTTGCATTCATAGATGAGTTTGTCCTCATCTCTGTTTCTTTATCAACTTTATCTCACATACACTTGTTTGCCAGAACGAAGGAAAGCCCTCGAACCCTCCCATGCTCCTTACTTAACCACTTATTTCTGTGTGTGCTTTATCTCTTGGTTTACTTTTAATCTCACAATTCTTTTCTAAGTTCTCGCTCTCTCTCTCTCATTTTCTTTTTTGCATGCAAAGGCTCCTGTAAGACTGGGCATGGTTCTCTTACTGTAACTTGCAGTCCAGCTCAGCATCTTCTTTTGCTGAGCTTATATTTTACTTACATATATAAACTACTTCAAGGACTTAACTTGTTTTAATACTAAAATAATATACAAAACTTGATAACCTTCTCAACCACCCACTAGCTCTTAGTAACTTCGGTTCTCCTCTGTTTTATTCTTAACCTCCATATTTACTACAGACACGTTTCCTTTTTCTACAGTTTTTTTACTTAGCACTAACTTTATTTCATACCACAAAGTAAGTATTCCTTTACATTGTCAACTATTTCTCTCTGTCATGTGATAATCCAGTATTTTCTTATAATAATAACTAAGAATCCTTTGGTTTCTTTTTGGTTTTACATATACTCTTTAAAGTTTATTACATTAATTTTGTTGAAGCATTTACGATTTACTAGCAATGACCTTGCCTTCAATTATTGCCTCTTATTTTTATACATGAGTCAGATTAGAGGTGCTTTTTGTATTTTGAACATGATACGATTTTATGATATGAATTTTTTACTTATTAAAATATCATCCTTGTTTTTGTTAATACGGCCAGCAGATTTTATTGTGGAGCCAAAGCCATTCACTCATATTTAATGAAAATTTGGCAGATGGTCTCTGTTTCATAATGGTTGCCAAAATAAGTTTAATCAAAATTGCATAAGTCAACTTTAATTATGCATTTCTTCAAGTTTTTCTAAGTAAAAACTTCAGTTCATTAATTTTCCTTTTACAGTTGTAGCAAAGCTTCTTAAAATTTTCCAGGTACAAACTAAGGTTAATCTTCCCAAGTATTTTGGTTGCTGAATTAAGAGTTTCTGAAAAATCTCTTTCACTTTAGAAACTCCTAGAAATGGTAAAACATTCAGAGGTTAAAATATTTTTTATGATTTATACAACATATTAGAAGTATTATTTTCATAAAAATCATCTCTCCTTTTTTTTTTTCACCTTTTATCCCCTAATGTTTCAAACCATTAGTGGACCAACTTTGATCAGTTATATATAACAGAGTACCTGAGTTCACTTTAATATTTTCATAAACAAGAAAATGAAAATACAGTTAGCCTTGCTACCACCATCCCTTGAATGTAGAGTAGTAGTTGTACTACTGTGTCAAGTTAACATATCATAGAGGTAATATTTTGGAGACGGTGGTGCTTGGAAAATTCCATATTCTCCCACTGATTGTTTGTACGTGTAATTTCATTTCATGTTACTTGTGTATTTGCATTCACCTTGTGTTTTTGGTGCTTGTTAAAATGTTTGTTCCATTTTTCAGATTATGCCTGTTGAGGTCCTGTTTCCGAGTGGCAGAGAGACTCCTAGCGTTGACTTGGACAGAGCCTAAGCACAGGCAGAGCGCGACTCTGCTGCCTGGGGATATTTGATAATTAGGGATGATCATTCCCTCTGTCTTGAAATGGCTCCCGGGTGCCCCATCTGCAGCCGCCTTCTCCCCAGACTGAGGATTTTCTAGTTCTTTCACGTGAATGAATTATTGAATAAAATAGGGTGAAACAGTACAGGATGGATTGGGTTCCCAGGGCCTGAAACCTAAACCCTACGGTCCCAGTAAATGGAAAACCGGGTTTTAAGAAAGCCATCAAATTAGACATCCAGGTGTTTCTTTCCCTATTTTAGATGGAGATGTAACAGTTAACTTTGAAAATTCAAACGGGCACATGATACCCATCGGAGAGGAGTCTACCCGAGAGGAAAATGTAGTCAAATCTGAAGAAGGTAATGGCTCTGTAGCTGAAAAGGCGCCACCTCTGGAGGAAAAGGCAGAAGATAAGACAGGTAAAATCAAGAGAAACCCCTTTTCCTTTTCCTTCAGCACGGCTCAGTGTTGAGAATCGGGTCTTAGGCTCCAAATAATGACCTTAAGACCAGTAGAGAAGAAATTGACGAGCACAAAGAGGAGAGAAACAATGACTAGCAAAGAGAAATTGGATGATTTCCTCAAGTAGGTGCATCCGTTTTATAAGCACATCATTTAATTTTTTATTAAAGAAGGCTAAGTAATGGTAAGCATGGGCTGGCCCTTCAGTCATTAGAGATAACTGAGAATATCCTCTTGTCCTCCAGAGCTTTTATCCAGTATTTTTGAAAACAAAAGTGCCAGCAGTCTGAACATCTTTCTCTGCTGCTTAGAAGTGGCCCCTGTGAGCATCTTGGCTTGAAGCGGTAATGGGACAAGGAGGCCCTTCCAGCCCAGCACTGGCTCTCTAGCAGTGGGAGCTTGGCTGGTGGCACCCACGCACCCGACTCTGTAGGTTCTAGTCCAGGGTCTAGACATTTCTAAGAGAGACCCAAGAAGAGTCCCCACAGACGCTGGGGATTTTGGTTCCCGTACTGGCCATGGGCTCTGCTCAGCGATTTGTCCATACGATTAGAAATTTCAAAGTATACCAGAGGCAGTTATGCCATTCCCTGAAGACTTCTTCAGAGACCTTGCTTTCTACAGTGGCTGTGCCAAGGGAGATGGCATAACTGCAGAATGCCTGTCTGTCAAGGACCCCAGAACATTCACAAGTTCCTGGGCACTGATTGATTGCCTCTCCATACCCACTGCTGTAGGAGCAGGAATCTCCCAGCGTCAGACTTACAGGAACTGAACGGAAACTCCCACCAAGTAAGGCTAAGGTGGGAGATTCTAGATAATGCTATGCAGCATGAATCCTCAGGAAATAGGCTATTTCCTGTTCTGTAATGCCTGCCCCTCTGAGTTGTTGGATGGCAAAAATGTGTCAAACCCAGTTTAGGCTCTCTAGGCGTTTTGGGAACTCAGAATCTGCCGGAAGCAAACTTCCCTTCCTCGGTTCTTGATCCAAATCCTTCAAAGACAGAGGGAACAAAAGTGCAACTTATAGACGTTGTAACCTAAAATCATCTTCTCTGGAAGTCTGTAACCCTGATTATTTAAATTAACCTTTAAAAATTTTAGAGGTCTCTGTTAATAGTCTTTTAGAAGTTTATTATTTTGCTTTATTCAGTATTAAGTCTAGTATGAGGCTTTACTTAGTCTTGTTTCATTGAAAAACTCTGATTAAGCTTATGAATGCTGATTATAATATTTTTCCTACTACTATTTCTGGAACATAAAGAGAAACAGACCTAAATAGAAATTTAAGGGGATTCAGTTGAAAATGTTAATGCAAGTGGCGATTTCTTTCATTTTCATTTTTTTGTTCCAACTGTCCTCTCTCACCAGTGTGTTACATTTCAAACCCATCTGTGGTCTGTGCCATGTTCAGCCTTCCACACTGAAGAGTCACCTCCTTTATTACGTAACAGTGCCATCTCTGGTGTCTGCGCGGCCACGCAGGTGTCAGTCAGTGCACGGGCCGGACTTCAAAGGAAGTGTGTCCCTTATCGGCCTAATAAAAAGTTGCTGACAGTTTTACATTAATTAAGCCAGCAGGCCCTGATGTTCTAAAGAGGCGCATAGGTCCATGGGTATTTGAGAGATGTTTTTGTTTTCTTATTCTTTACTTAGAGCAAGTACATTCAGTTCCTTTTGGTCAAATAAGGTTCAAGATAGCATCTTGCTTGGCTGGTCTGCACATGAGGAGATGCAGTGCTGGGCATGCCGTCCCACCACTAATAAGACAAAGAGCTTCCCGCTCGCTGTGTGGAGGGTGCACACCCCACCCCCCGCAGCCCCTGCCACTGGGACAGGGAAGGAAGCACTCAACATGGAAGCCACTCCTGAGGAGTAAAATGAGTGTCACTTCTAACTCATATCACACAGTATTATGGTCAATGGGAACTACCTTATGAAGAAAGGTAACCATTCATTTCTCTGTAAAAGATACCACTTACTTTAAAAACACCTCAGATTCACTTTTACATTTCCTCTTCTGATCTCGCTCCTTGTCTGAGCTCACTACTTTGCAAATCCACCACCCCATGGTCTTAATTCACCCTTGATTTGGGGGCATGGTGCTCGCTTTCCTTTTGCAAAAACAGTATCTGTCCAGCTTACCCAAGAGCATTATTTCATCTGTTAATGGGTCATGCTTGGGAAACCACATCACATGCCTGTAATGTCCCAGCATCTCTTGTATCTCTTTTTAAGATGGTGGGTTGTGCTTGAGTATTTGAAACATCGGTGATGAAGAAAACAAAACAAATAACAGCTAGCCTCCCACCGCTCTGCGGATAGGTTTCATCTGAACCACACTGGCGTTCCCGAGGCCCCCAAAGGTGGCTGACCCTGCAGCTGGTACGGTGCTCTGGGGCCCCCTGTGCCCCATACCAGACGCTCTTCCCTTAAGACCCCCAGGGCTCCTAGTCTCCCATTATTCCCTCAGCAAGCCCTGAAGGAATTAAATATAGAGTAAGCAGAAAAGCTACATGAAGTCTGTTAAAGATAGCTTGGTATTGTATTTGAGAAAACTGAAAAGTATTTGATGTTATTTCAGTTGAGTTATTACCAAGGACTTGCAATGAAGCAACATGATTTAGCATTCGTGAGTGCGGCAAGTCAGGGGGGCTTCGAGCAAGACCAGAATTGGTCCTTAGATGGGGATATGTATTTCTAAGCCAAGATCTGAAGGAGACAAGGAGGAGGCATCGGGGGAAGGCGAGGAATGGGGGCAGCAGTGTAATCAAGGCAAGGTGAAGATGCATGCGGATCTCAGGTTTGCTCTGAGTGTTGTGGAGCTAAACTCTCTGTGTGGCGGAATGAGCCCAATGTGCAAGTCTAGTAAACAGCCCTCCCCCAGGCTCTCGTGTGAGATGGGGTGACCTTGTGATCAGGCAGCCCGTTATTGACTAGCCTCCCCAGAAAAGATGATCCTCGCCACCAGTTTAATCACATCTTCAAATCATATGGCCATCAAAAAATATATATAACTTGGCTGAACTCATTACCTCCTGGGTTAAAGGAAGGGCTTGTTTTTGACTAATGTGTGTTAATACTATCAGCCAATCAGTCACATTCTCTGAATAGACATAATGTGTAAAGCGTTATGCTTGATGCGATATAAAATTTGAGGCAAAAGGAGTTCATAATACAGACAGAGAAGCATACCGGGTGTGTGCACACGCCCCTCCAGAGTCACCACGGAGAAAACACACACATCGGCCTCATGGCAGCCCCCTGCCCCCCACCGTAGAGCTCAGACCCGACCGCCCCTCTCCGAGGGCCGCCGACAGTTTGCACGCCACATGCTCATTTTCAACCCGGCAGGGATTGTCATTCCCAGATGTCGCGGAGCAAAGCATCTCCTCCTGCCCAAACCCAGGAGCTGGATTCTTTGGGATATAACTTTAGAATCTGAAACTTCAGGCAGAAAGAGAAAAGATCTTTCAGTGAGATGCCTGGAAGGCCGCAGAAGAGATGGCGCTGGTTGGTGGTGTGAAAGAGGAATGGTGTGACCGACTCTCACCAGATGATACATCATGCCTAGGTCCTGTGCGTGGTCCTACGCTAGAGGCTGTTCTTAAAGAAGTATTTAAAGCATAGGCTTGTGCCCCACGTCAAAAGACTGGCAAGTCGATGTCTGTTGTATTTGTATGTTTTATGTTAAAATGTGAGGTGTGTATGACTTGTGTCGTTCTCAGCCCTAACTGACTTTCGTGGTTAAGTGGCCTCCTGGTGCAGACCAGGTTAGGAGAATCGCTGCTTTTACCCGGGGAGACGTGATGTGTGAACAGAAAAGCAAACACAAAGCAGCCTCTGATCAATGTGGAATCATGAGCTGCAATGAAGTTGAGATGCAGGAGGGGCCAACTCGGGCTGCAGTGACCCAGGTGGGCTTCATGGCTGAGGGAGGATAAAAGAAAAGTCTTACTGATGACCTACGGTAACCGGGCCATCATATATGCGCATTGATGGGGATGTAGAATAAAGCGGGAGGCTGAAGTCCGCACTTCCCACCAACGAGGATGAGACGTGAAACAAAGGAAATACTAAATTGCGATGCATTCTACTATTAAAAGCCTTTCTTGGTCATCCAATAATGGGAGGATACATCCAGTGAATGCTTACTCTTGTCTTAACACTGTCTTATGTTTTTTGTTGTGCTCCGTTTTTAAAGAACTGTCACTTAGCTCTTTGGACCAGAACTGTATTTTCATTTCAGTCGGCCACTATTAGAAAAATACAGACGTGACTATGTGGATAAACATTCAGATGTCTTCACTTTCCATAATGAGAGACCAGTACTGTTTCTCCTTCCACTGGACACAACCTTGTGAGATTTTCATATTCTTAGATACGAATTTTTGAAAAATGAATTTTAACCTTTGTCTTTTCAAAACTTTTTCTTGGGTTTACAAATGACAAAGCTAGTTTGATTTTTTTATTTAATTTTTTTTTTATTCTGCACCTCTGGTTGCAGCACTGTCAGGGAAGGTCCGGGGAAGTTACTGTGAAACAGGAAGCTGCCCGACTGCACCAGCAGAGCCGGAGGAAACTTTGTAATAGTAGAAAATAGCTTATTCTTCTGTGCACTGCACTTCCTGGTAAAGGGAGTTTAAAAGGGGCTCTCTACACAGGCTCCCTTAGCTTAGAAAATTATTGGGTTTTGACCACAGTGAGACAGAGCACAAGTCCCTTTCTGTTCGACAGGGCGTGAGTTGTCCTGAGAGCGAGTTCCTCTGGGCGGGGGGGACAGCGGTCACCGTGAGTCCAGTCAGCACCGTGCGGTCAGTCCTCGCCCCCTGGCACTGTGTGCAGTGCGCTGATCAGTCACTCTCGGGAGCCTTTCAACTCTGTGAAATTCCAGGTAGGGCTCATGCTCCTGAGTCAAGGCTGATGTCGGCCCCGATGGTGAACATTCACGTTTGTCCTCACCCTAACTTCGCCAGGGTGACTAGTGCGACCCTGAGTTGTCGTCGCAGGAGCCAGGAGTGCCCCTGGACAGCACACCGTGGTTTGGCTTCCACCTTCGTTCTGACCTCAAGCGTTGCTCGCTCTGGTGCAGAGCTTCATTCACACTGGTGCCCAAGGGCCGAGCAACCGCACGTGTGTATCACTGTCACTGTGTGTATCACTGTCACCGCATGTCTCGCTCCTTCTGTTTATATGGTGTGTGTCTGCATCAGTCTGCCTCTGTTTACTTTCTCATTTGTAGAGAACACTGAAAACCTCCCTGAGACGCCGGCAGCTCCTGCTCCACCCCCCTCAACTCTTCCTAAGCCTAAGCCCAAACCTAAGCCCCCCAAAGCTCCTGTGCCTCCAAAAGGGGCTGCTGCTGGGGCCAGCCCCAAGGGTGACGAAGTGCCTCCTATTAAAAAAAATACCAAGGCTCCTGGTAAGCAGGCCCCCACCCCTCCACCCAAGCCGACAAGCCGAAACACAACCCGAAACACACCCCGAGAGGCTGGTGAGTATGCCCCCAGTGGGGTTGAGTCTAGGGTGCTCAGCTCTGGGTGGGGCTAATTTTCTAGGGATGAGGGCCTTTTCGATGTCTCCTGTAAAACTTAGGGTAGAACTCCAGTGGATGCAGCTTTGACACTGAGAATGCCCAGGAGATTCCTTTGTTGTGATCTCTATCTGAAGCAAGTCAACTGGTTGATCAGTTGACCTCATTAGTTTGGGGGTGAATAGACCTTTTTCACCCTGAGGAGCCACTGTCTGCACGAGAAGCATTAGAAGGAAAGAGGGAGCAGTGTTCCTGATGAATGGCGATTATCCGATAGGACATTACTTAGACATCGACAAGCCTTCTGCCTGTTTGAGTTTATGGGTGGATTTTTGGCTTGGGTTTTCTTTTAGAATGTCTTAAGTTTGCACATAAGAGTATGACACATATCTTTGACATATTTGCTGTATCATAATGTCTTAGGTCTGTCCACATGCCCAGTCACTTCTCCATTCATAACTGACAAAGGTTGGTTCAGCTCCCGCCCACCGCTCCTGGTTGAGTCATCACTATTTCAGCAGAGTTGAAAGTTACGTGCTCAGGACTCCCCCTGCCCCAGACAGAAGGCTTTAGTTTGTTAGAAGGAAAGCATCCTAGTGGTGTGGTTACCAGTCACCGTTACAAACCACCAGGACTGCTTGGTGACCTACAATGTCTGCCTTCCTTTCAAGTCAGATACATTTAATCCAGAAGGCATTCCTAGCAAAGTGGAATGAAGAAGCCTACCATGCCATCCAGCTTTTAAAAGGCATTAATTAACACACTTGCTGGATCTTTTTCCCTCCATTAACACATGCATAGAAGTCCTCCTGTGTTATAGCAAGCCTTATTTTCCCTAAAATCAGCAGCAGCTTTCTCATGATTGGCTACTAGGATTTGCCTTGGTATTGATCTTTTTTCCCACTGTAATCCACAACCTGTAAAGCTCAAATTTAGGGAATGGCTTAGTTGACAGTATGACAAACCTCTAAATGTAAATAGATGTCTCTCCCCTGTGTCCCTGTCTTCTGCCTTTGACCTTGTGTGTCTGGGTCTCTTCTAATAAGGGCTAATGTGAAATGTCTCGGAATGCTGTGCCAACAGTGCATTCAGGCCATTTCCTCAGGGAACAGCTGCTTTTCCGTGTCAGCGTCCATTCCTGTGGGTATCTGTGTTCTTCCCAGACGGCCGAGCACACCCTAGGACCAGTGCTTGCAGTGAGGCAGCCTCTGACCCACCTCTTTAGGAAAAGCCCTGAACTGCCGCCCTGTCCATGGGAATTGAGACCCGGCCTCCTCACGCCTTCCGTCCCTCTTCCTTGTGCCCCCACGTGGCCGCAGCTCGCTGTTGGCTCAACGTGGACGCTATCTGCCTTCTCTCCGGAGGAAGCTGATTACTGCCAGGGCAGGGGACAGCTTTTATGACAGATTTTTGACTTTTTTCCAGATATTTTACTTGAACATTTTTTTTTTACTCTCAATGAGTTCATTTGAATTTTTATGCATTTATTGTTTCATATTCATATTCAACACATCTCTGTATATCCAAGTAAAGCAGCATAGTACCAACCAAGTTCAAACACCCATCTGAGTTCATTGCTACAAAATGGATTCTTAGCAAGCAACCCCCTGAGTCTTCCCTCCCACATCTACCCAATATTCACAGACTTAGGATGTTCCTGAGAGAATAGCACAGTCGTGTTATCCATTGTATTAAGAGTCCCGACTGGTCCTCAATGTGTGTAAGAACGTTGCTGTTCATGAAACGGGTTGCGCTGCAGTGCACTGACAGGCCCATCACACAAGGATCTTGTGTCAAGGACACACGGACAAAGCCAAAGGCGGGTAGGATGGAGGGTGGGAGGTGGGGATGGGTGGGCGGCAGGGAGTAGTGTGGGAAAATGGAGACAACTCTACCTGAACAGCAATAAAGAGAAAAAAATAAGAGGCAATGAGAAAAAAACAAATATTGTTAACATTCTATCAGAATCCAACTGATACTCCCTTTGTAACCATTTACAACTTTCTACATGGTAACATTTCATTTGAATAATGTTGACCTTGTGGAAAGTTACTGCAAATGCTGCTCTTGATTTCAGGCAGATACTTTAAGTTCTTAACAGAAGTTATCAGTTAAGATTCTTCCTCATTACTTCATTACTACACACCTCCAGTGGTGCAGATACCATTTAGCACGCTCAGCGGCTTTGCCAGTGAAACAAGGCAGAATGTCCTGTTTTTTCCTTTCTCACAGAGTGATATGCACCGTGCTAACAACAAAAGTAGTTCACTGAGGAGAGGTGGCATTTATTCTGTAGTCACAATCTTAACTCAAAATGCCTTATGCAACATTGTTGATTTCAGCAAAGTAACATCATTTTAGAAGAAAAACCAGTATGGTTTGGGTCTGCTCTCCAGGCATTAAAAAAAAAAGGGTTTTTTTCCCCCTCAAGTCAGGCTAAAGTTAAGTTTGCTATTAGAAAAGAAAGAATTTTCTTCAAAGCAATTTTTTGGAATTGATAATGTGGAAGAGATTATGTTCAATTTCCCTAAGAAAATAATCAAACATGTTTAGACATCCAATCCTTAGCATCTTGGTTGTGAAAAATAAATTTAGAATGGACTTACGTTGTAGGAGTCTGCTTAATGTGTTTGTCATGTAGGCAAGCAAAGGTTGTTAACTTCAAAAAAAGTAGTATTAACTCTGGCGTAGCTGGCTACCGGCAGCCTGTTCTTAGAACCAGAGTCTATAAAGAACTAACTATGGAAAAAACAGCCTTAACAGGCCCAGGTGTGGAGGAGGGTCATTCTGGTTGCTGCGTATGTATAAAATAATAAATCCCCAAGCTATAGAGATTCTTTCAAGCCTGGACCATGTCACCAAGTGAGATTGGCTTCTTGTAGTGTCTCTGAGTTGGTGAAGTCTCACAGATGCTGTCTAGTCCTTTATTTGTCCTTCATCTCTTGCCCCTCCCAGTTGACTTCATTAAGGTTACAATCAGAGGTAAGTTACAATAACATGTGTATGCAGTGCAGATGGGCTTCACGGGACCAACAAGATATTTTCTGATGGCTCTGTGGAAGACGGTTTACCCCTCGTGGAAAAAAAAAGGAGCATACAACATTATATAAGAAAAAGCAATTAGGAAAAATGCATAGGTCTAAAGGTCATGAAACCTGCATGCGCCCTCATTGGAGTTTGAATGTATTTCCTGAGATGATACAAAGAAAAGGCGAGCTAGCCAGGGTTTGGTTACAGACAGCCTCTCCAGAAGCAGGCAGACACACCACTGATGGCGCCCCTGGAGGAACTCAGGCCGTTGTCAGAAGACCCGACAGTGATACTCCTTTCCTTCAAATTAGTCAAATAGTACCACTTAGACTTTTTTTTACAGAAAAGAAATTGTTCTGCCTTGTGATATTTTGCAGGGACTTGTCTTTTCTCTGTGGCCACGTGCTTGCAATCTGCCCCATCCACTGCCCGTGGAGGTGTGAGCCGGCTTGGTGGGGCGGGCTCCTCCCCAGGAGCCATGTTGAGAGCCGGGTGAGAGCTCATGCTCTCGGCAGTCAGATGAGGACATTTGCTTTTGGCCCAGAAAGGAGCTGGTGGTATCTACCCCAGCCTCTCTGAATGTGGGCCACACTGTGCCCCAGAAGACACAGTAGAACATGTATAACTTGTGAGGAGCTCAACCTTGTACTGTCCCCAGACACTACCCCCTTGTACTATCTGTCCTGCACACACGATAATGGCCCTACTTTGGAGCATGCGGGGACTTTTTTCAGGTGACCCGTAGGACAAGCAGCTGAGGGTTTCCCCTTTGGCTGGCCCAGGTAAAGCCCAGAGGAGGGAAAGACGGAGGACTCTAGTCCCTTCGGGTTTTGCCTCAAATTTCACACATTCCCTCCTGGATTGGAGGCAGGGAGGGGGCAGAAAACAAAACCATTATTATTATCGGCCTGTTTTGTTTTGTTCACTTATTCATTGCGTTTGAAAATGTTAAAGGGAACGTTGTCATTGACAATTGCAACTTGGTTAGTTTAGCCTGAAAGTGTCATCTTTGACTTTTAATGCAAACTCTCTCTATTTTAGCTGGTTCCTCTCATTCAAAAAAAACAACTGGCTCCAAAGCCTCAGCTTCGCCATCTACTTCCTCCACCTCATCTTGTCGAAAAACTTCAAAGGAGACAGTTTCCAGCAAAACAGGGACTGTGGGAATCACAAAGGGCAAGAAAAGAACTGGCAGGCAGCCCATGTCTCAACCATCCTCCGATGCAACCACAACTGGTACATCCGACCTTAAAGGACAGCCTTCGGAGACCAAGGTGGAGACTGAACGGACTGTCCCCGGGACCGAGGAGCTGACCACAGGCAAATCCAAGTCTGCAGTCCCTGCACCCCCAGTGGCTCCTCCACCCCCAGCCCCTCACCTTGTTCTGGAGGAACAGTGCGTTTTTGCCTCAGACACTCCGGTTGTCCTGGTCAGCAATGCAGCCGACCTGCCCGTCCCTGCCTTAGACCCAAGTCAGCTTCTCTGGACTGAAGAGCCGACAAACAGAACCACTGGCCACTCAGGCACTGGCTTAAGTGTTAGCCGAGAAAATGCAAAATGGTGAGTCGGAGCCCAAACCCCACATTCCGCCTGCATTCCCTGTGAGGCCGAGCACTACACACCACCAAGCCGTTCTGTTGGAAATGAAGGAAACTACTTGGTTTTCTTTTCTAATTTAATCTAGTGATTGTTAGATCCACACACAGGTCACCCAACCGTTGGTTTTTCTTACCCTGCCCCAGCAGTGCCACAGGCTGCTGGACACAATGACATTGGCCCTACTGACAGATGCACTTTGCACCTTTGCCTTCCGAGTGCATTTAGAACCTGCCTCATCACTGCTCTGCGGTCCTTTCTCTTTTCCCTAAACAGGTCTCTTCTCTTTTCTTGCAGTGGTTATTTTAAATCTTGACCACTTGTGTAGGTTGCTCACCCACTCCTGCCTCCCTTCATTTCAACAAGTGGTTTAGTCTTCTCCTTCTCCCAGAAAATAATCAGGAAAGAACTGTATCAAATTCCAACTCCTCTTCCTCTAACTTCAGAGTGGCTCCATTTCTTGCTTCCTGAATTCCCCACCATGGATGCTCGTGCAGACAGAAAGAGTTATTACTGCTTCTCTACTGAGAGCCCTTTCTCCTGCCTGCGGGACGGAATTAACCAACGTGTCGTATTTACCGCTCTGTCCCCATCAACCAGCATAGAAGCTGGTATGCCGCAGGCGTGTGGTCATCTAGTGCCTGAGCCCAAACAACTCCAATTCATCCCAGGGTTTTCATTCTCCTCTGTTCACTGCATCTAATTACAGACTCCTGCACATTGTATATTTTCCACTTAAAGGTAAGTGAGCCACGTTAGCTGCCCTGTGCACAGGTATGGAAGGAGGGTCATCATGGGATGGACGCCATGACCAATTTTGTGTGGGCAAGGCTTAGCTCTCTCAAATCCGGCCTCTCTTTTGTTTCTAAGAATAAAATCAAATTCAGTCTTAAAATCACATAATTTATTATCTCCTCTTTCAAAAAAAAAGTAATCTGAGTCATGTTAAAAAATTTTGTTCATTTATTTAAGTTGCTTTGGATTAATGGACTAAAATGTTAACTTGATTCAATTACTGATATTAATAACCTTCATTTATTGAATGCTTATTTTATATCAGGAACTGTCAGTTATTTAATTTGTAAAAGTCTTCCCTGAACTATTTGTTTAATGAGTGAGAAGACGAGAGCTGAGAGAAGTGAGATAGTTTACCCAGATTACGCAGGCAGCGAGGGGCAGGCCCAGAGCTGCACACCAAATGTCACGCCCTAGGGAACCATGTAAGTTTCCAAAGTAATTGCTTCCATTTCTGCTATTTTGTGTATGTGAGTGTCATTTCTTGCTTTTTTCTTTTTTTTTTGGTTGGTTGGTTTTTATCATCTTGAGCACCATCATCTGAAGGAAAGCCAAGGAATGATAAATGATGTTAAATTGCAAATTACTTTATTTGCTTGACACTTGAGTAAAGGCTATGGGAAAAGATGATATTGAAATGAATGGTTATGGTATCCCTCACACTTCCCAGCACTTAGCAAGTGTCTTCATTTATTTATAGTGAGTGTTTTCCAGCGTTGCAATCAGTTCCAACCTTTAGACCTAAACAGACATTCTTTCAGCATCCGTTTTCGCTTGCTTTCTGTGTGCTGGGCAGTGTACCAAGCACTGAAGATACTCAAGTGAGCAGAAACACTTTAGTTAACATTATTTCTTCCCAAAATAATGTCTGACATGACCAGGAAGTATAAATATTTAACATAGGCCCGTATTTAGGGAAATAACTTGAGTAGATGGTTTTATTTTTCAATATACTAGAGAACAAGTACAGCATGTGAAATGATTCCTTAAATAGTCTTAGGCACCAAGGGAGCCGGCATCCAAAGGTGATCTGACTGTCCCGTCCACTTCCACAGACGTTTAGGGACGACACTGTATTGTGCTACGCACAGTGCCGGGGGCCCAGTATCAGTCTTCAGCCCACGTATTTGCAGGGCCGCCAGACAAGAGAGCTGAGCGTCTGCTGTCCCTTCCCACTGGGACTGATCAGAGAGAGCAGGCTTAGGACTTAATTAGACATCGAGGTTTGTATAATAGACTTTCCTGTCACTCAGGGCAACTAGCATGCTTTCCTAGAAGAGAGTATAGAGATTTTCTTCTCTGTATATTCTTCAAAATAAAGAAGTTAAATTACAGTTGATCCCACAGGGACAGTTTGCATTTGCTCTTGAGTTAATGAGCCTGAAATAAGTAGTCTCTCAAATTTCCATCCAAATTCTCCCTTCTGTTTTTTTTTTTTTAAGTGGATATGTGAATTAGAATTTCTGGCTCTCAGTCATTTGTTTTACTTAAGAACATTCCCCCAGTTATGTTTAGTCAACGAATGTGTGAAAATCCTGTCATCTTTTGAAGAGGCTTCTGTTTGGAATCCCAGTATCAGAACTTTAAAGACGACACATGGCCATGTGTAAAAATATCTGCCTCTGTTCACATGTTACAGGGCAGTCACTGTTTGGTGGATTTCTAGTCACTGGCAGCTTCGTCGGTAATGTGTGTGCCTGGCATAATTGAAGGCAGAAAGTAATGAGCCCATCTGGAGCCCATATTCAAATGGCCCTTGAGTCTTTGTAATCCATTCCACAAACATTGGTGGAGTGCACCGTATTGTCCAGGGGGCCCAGGAACACTCAAGAAATACAAGAGCCAAGCCATAAGTTGAATGATATAAATTTGAAGGGTAATATTTAATATTGACTATAACCCATAATATAATATTAATATAACATAATATTAGGAGTAAACAAAGTATCATACAGTGTAACATGTAATAAGTAGACTAAGAGACGTTAAGGCTGGCCTCCCGCCTGGACTCGCTGCTGTGGGTGGGAAACTGACTCCTTGCCTTCTTTATAGGATAAGACAGTTGTGAGTTGTAAATGAAGGCAGAAGTCTTTGAAACCTGTAGGATGTTACAAAAAGGAGGTTAAAATAACCATTGATAACATAATAAATTAGTGAATCATGGCATGAACAAATACCAGGGCTCACCCCTGAGGTATCTTTGTTCTGCCCTTCAGAATGTGCTGTTAATTAGCACATCTTCTCAGTGTGCTGTGGTCACCCACAGCACACTCTTGGCAACCAAGAATGGCCTCCAGGGGCGGTCAACTCGAAATCCAGACTGTGGGAAAGTTTTCCCATAAAACAGATCTTCTCTGATTTAAAAATGAGATCACACTACAGAAACAGTATGGTGGGTCCTCAGGAAATTAAACGTAGAATTACCATGTGATCCTGTAATGCCCCTTCTGTGTATATTGCCCAAAAAAATTGAAAGCAGGAACTCAAACAGATATTTGTAGCAATGTGCATAGCAACATCATTCATAATAACCAAAAGGTAGACACAAACCAAATGCTCGTCGACTGATAAATGGATAAATGAAACATGGCATACACGCACAGTGGAATATTAACCTTAAAAAGGAAGGACATTCTGACACGCGCTACAGCACGGATGAGCCTTGAAGACACACTGAGTGAGGTAGGTCAGACACGAAAGGACAAATGTATAATTTCAATTATATGAAGTACCTAGAATAGTAACGTTCATAGACACAGAAAGTAGAATGGTAGCTGCCAGGGGCTGGGCGGGGAGGAGTAGAAAGTTACTGTTGACTGGGCACGGAGCTCCAGTTTGGGAGGACGGGAGAGTTCTGGAGGCGGGTGGCGGCGACGGTTGCACAGCAGTGTGGGTGCGCTCGGTGCCACGGATCCGTGCCTTCCAAATGGCTAACATGTTCAGTGTTATGCCATGCATACTTTACACCACAAAAATGACACTTTATATTTCCCCGTCTGAAAACAAGTATTCTGGTTGTACGATTTTTCTAATGTGAAAAATAGGACATTTTGAAAACACTTGGGCTTGTGACCACAAGACTTTTCAGTTCCATGGATTCTGACAAAGTGGCTGTTTCAATTATACCAAGAGCTGCTTTTGTCTTTCTTACTTAGTGAGAACAGCAAGCACATGTTTTGCGCTCACCAGTCTTGCAGAATTGTGGCGTCCAAATTTGGATTCTTCTGTTTATATCAGAGAGCAATTTGAGGATCTTTTTTTGTGTAAAGTATATATTTTATACTATCCTATACAAAGTTGCAAGCTTTGCATATTTATAGTAACTTTATATTGATTTTTCAATTTTACTTTTCAGTTGCAGTTGACATTCAGTGTGGTATTAGTGTCAGGTGTACAGCAGGGTGGTGAGACGATCATGTACTTGACAAAGCGGATCCCCCCGTAGTTCAAGTGCCCACTTGGCCCCACACATAGTTACTGCCCTATTATTGACTAGGTTTCCTGTGCTGTGCTTTACATCCCCGTGACTCTTCTGTAACTACCAATTTGTACTTCCTAATCCCTTCCCCTGTCCTCCTGTTCCCCTAAACCTCTCCCCTCTGGCAACCATCAGTCTGTTCTCTGTAGCTATAGGTCTGTTTCTCTTTTGTTTGTTCATTCATTTTGTTTTTTAGATTCCACATGTAAGTGGGATCCTATGATACTTGTCTTTCTCTGACTGACTTATTTTATTTAACAGAATACCCTCTAGGTCCATCTATGTTGTCACAAATAGTAAGTTCCCATTCTTACTTAGCGCGAGGAATATCCCATCGTATGTGTGTACTGTAAACTGGGGGCTCTTACCAAGCTGAATAATAGAAAATGATTGCATCCTTACATACAACCTTCTTCTAAAGAGTCCATTTAACTTCCACCCCTTCCACTTCATGTTATTAATGCAGGTCTGTGGCAGTAGGTTTATAAGTAGGAGAAGCTAAGCACAGAGGGGATGCATGATTATTTTACTGTTGACACGCTGGCCGTGATGAAAAGAGGGTTAACTTGTATATCAATTAAAGAAGATGTACTTTTCCGTGTTGCAGTGTTTCTAGGTGTTGGGCTGAGAAGCAGCATGCATCCTACTTGTCCAGGAACTTGGTGGGTTGGGAAGGCAAGTAAATGGAGACTGAGGTGCAGCGTGCCCACTGGTCCAGTGGTGGGGCTGGGGGCGGGGGCGGGGGCGTTGTCTCCAGGTCACCACGGGAGCAGGCGGAAAGGACAGGGAACTAGGCTGAAGGCTGGTGACAGACTCCTGACAGAGCCGAGGCTTTCCCTGAGCCTGGAAGGACCAGTAGGAGGTAGAGGTCAAAGCAAAAGGGACACAGGTCTTCAGGAGCATCCAGCCCTTTGTTCTTTCTGAACCCCCATTGCTGTGGGGAGATTCATTTGCAAAATAGAGTTTTCCCATATTTGTGTACTGGCTGTATCAGACACCACCTAGCCAATCCTTTTCATTGCACAGGTAAAGAAATCTAAAACTTTGAGACTCAAGTAATACATACTGGTCTTCCACTTCAGTGATTTAGCTGGCCTATGTCCCCTTCTTTTTTCCTTTTGCCAGCCTGAAGGATGCTCTTAAAACCAGCACTCCGCCCTGGCTGGCGTAGCTCAGTGGATTGAGTGCGGGCTGTGAACCAAAATGTCACAGGTTCGATTCCCAGTCAGGGTACATGCCTGGGTTGCAGGCCTTGACTCCCAGCAACTGCACATTGATGTTTCTCTCTCTCTCTATCTCCTTCCCTTCCCTCTTTAAAAATAAATAAATAAAATATTTAAAAAAAACAAAAACAAAACAAAAAACCAGCGCTCCTTCTCATGGTCTGGGCTGCGTCCCCGAGGTTGCCCCAAGGTTGCTCCGAGCTTCACACCACCCCTGTGTCTCTGTGCCTCCAGCAGTCTCACAACCAAAGACCAGCTGCTGGCCCCTGGGCTGACGGGAGAGTCTGCAGAACCCTTCTGTGCCCCGGAGGATGAGAGCCAAAGGGAGTGCCGGGCCAGCGACTCGGACTCCGATGGGCCTGTCCTGTACACCGATGATGACGACGACGAAGAGGATGAAGATGAGGATGGCAGTGGGGAAAGTAAGACTTTTTTCTGGAGGCAGGGCGGGAAGTGGGGGGTGGACAGAAGCAGCTGCGTTTTGTAAAGAACAGAAGCCCCATCGGCAACCAGACTTCCGATGTTCTCTTTCCCCTCGTGTTCCTTCCTCAGACTGGAAATGTGTGTATCCCAGGGTGTGGCTCTGGGCGAGAGGCCTCTCCAAACAGTGATTCCGTGGGCGGTGAGAGGCACGTTTGTGTGTGTCCAAAGAGGCAAAGCTTTCTAATGACAGAGGCCTTTCTCAGGATGGTCAAAGGCAGCCCTGCCCCGAGACCTTTCTTGAGTAAAGAGCACCAGTGCCGGCTTCCCTGGATTACTCATTGGAAATGTTTTGAGAGTTTCCCTTATTTTTATGCTGGGGTTTGAAGAGAGGGGAGGGAGGGAGGAATGAGTCACAAATGACAAATCCTTTTATGAATTAAAAACATTCATCCATAATAAGTGAGATAGTATGCATCCTAGTAAGGAATGGCAGTAAAGAAGGGGAAGCCAACCGTTTGTGAGTAAATTAGGGAACTAGAAAGTGGTTCTTTTTTTTTTTTTTTAGTCTTCTAAGCAGGATGACTTTGGAAGGATTCACTATACAGTTAAGTTTATAGATTCTGAAATGGTAGTAGCATATTAATGATTAAACATCAGTTTGTCAAATTTCTTTCCGTTTCTACTGGACAACACCAAAAATTTTCACCCATCTGGCATTAACTGGCATCTGTGGAAATGTCAGGGATCTCTGGGTAATTTAGGATTAAAACTTGAATATCAAAGGCAGACTTTTGCCAGCATGGTTTCTGAGTAGAGGAAAAGGGAAGACAGGACTTTCCTGCACAGTATAGTGAAGGGGCTACGTGTTTAAGACTTGAAAAAGAAAAGAGAAAAGGCGTGCCATCAGTAGTTTCCGTGAAGCGCCATCTCAGCAAAATAAACTTCACACATCACTTTCCAAAAGACGCGGTGATACTTCCAAGTTTTCTGTGGTTCCCCAACATTTTTTAGAACATTTTAAAGAGTTCTTCAGTATCTCAAGATGAACTGTAGCCAACTCAAAACTAGTTCCCCCCTTAGGCTAATTAAAATCCCCCGAGCACACACGGACAAAGCACTTGGCCCCGGGCTCCGTGGAAAGCCCGTGCCACCTGTCACCTGAGTGCCGCTTGCTAAAAGCCTTTTTCTCTGCATTTCTGCCATTTCCAATCCTCAGGTGCTCTGGCAAGTAAAATCCGACGACGGGATACTCTTGCTATCAAACTTGGCAACAGACCATCCAAAAAAGAACTGGAGGACAAGAACATCTTGCAACGGACCTCTGAAGAAGAGAGGCAGGAAATCCGACAGCAGATTGGAACCAAGCTAGTTAGGTAATTGCTGAAGTTCCAGTCCAGCACCAACCAGTGCATACCTTGCAATCCACACCCCCTCCTGTAGTTTCCAACCTGAGGTCATTGGGAATTCATGGGTAAGGGCACAAGTGGCCTATCGGGTCTTTTAAAGTTGGCCCTGGAGAGTGCACCACTCAAAGAACTCGCCCTTACATCCAGCGAGTCCGTGGCTCTGAGGTTGCCAAGGCCTGGTCCAAGTGTTGACAGACTTTTTCTGTAAAGGGCTGGTTCATAAATATTTCAGGCTTTGCTGGCCGGAAGGCCTCTGTTGCAGGGACTCAACAAAAGCAGCCGTAAACAATGCACAAACAAATGAGTGTATCTGCATTCCACTGAAAGGTTTTCATCGAAACGGGAGGCAGGCCTGGTTCAGGGACAAACTAACGCTCCTGTGATTCCAGGCAGTTGTGTCCCGTGGGCCAGGAGACTGGAAAATAGTATAGTAAGCCTCCATGGTCAGCTCCGTCCATGGTCACCGTCAGGTAACCTCAGCCCTGCTATCAAAACTTCCCTCTTTTAACTTCAGGTAACGGACATCTGACTTCTCTTCCTGCCTCTGGCTCTTGTGTGATTTCTACTTTTGCCGCTAGTGAAGTCGGAAGTCCGTTTAACTGGCAGTTTTCACAGAAGTGAGTGCTGAAGCTCTCATTTTTGTGACCAGTTCAAACATGTGTCAGCATTAGGTATTGCTCTGACTTCTCTCACGACGGGGTGCACAAATCGGGAGAAGGGGACGGTCTGGAAGCCCAGAGTGGGATTTGTGTGGTCACTGTGTAGGGGCAGAGATCCAGGAGTCTTTACTTCTCACTTTCAGGGGAAATCAAACACCCACTTTCAAGGTACCACTTTAATCAGTTATATCAGTAGTTGGAGGAGGGAAGGTCATTCTAGAGGGAGGAATCTCTACTACAAGGGGGGGTGATGTGTTTGGGGGTGACATAGGACGGGTGTTTGTACAGGATACGGGGGTACACGGGTGGGACAGCGTCTGGCTGGCAGGGGTGGTCAGTGGGTTTTTGTGCTCTCAGTTACTGAAATTAATTCCAAAGGCGCTCTGATGAAGATTAAACTTTAAGAAAATTTTTAATAAGATATTTAAAATGTTACTTATTTTAATTCTTCCTATCATTTCTGTCATAGCCATAAAAATTTAGAATTGATAGTATCTTTTTAAAAATTGCCTTTCATGTACATTATTAGTTTGATTTGTACAAACTCAAACCACATCCAGAGGAAGTTTTTATTGGTGATAAACAAATTCATAATGGAAACAAGACCAAGAACAAAGTAGGAAGGGTTCACAGGACATTCAGCTCTTAGGTACAAATAGCTACTAAGCACAGAGGAGGAGCCTGGCTCGTCTTGAAGGCAGATGGGAAGGACCTACATATCTCAAGATAACCATGCTAGAAATTTGTTTCAGGTCACAAAGGCCGTATTTCACTTAAAATGCTATTTAGTGTGGATCGATCATCTCCCAAGCTGATAGGAACTCAGGCAGCAGGCTTTTTTAGATCCGAACAACTGTACATGAATTAGCAAGAGGCTAAGCTATTTTAACCGAGACCAAAACATGCAGTGGTCCAAACAGAGCACTTCCACATGTTTCTTTCTTTTTTACGTGACAGCCCAGAGGTAGGAGGGCTGTCCAGCATGGCTGGGGAGGATTACCTCTCACTGTCAGCTGGGTCCCCAGGTTTCTTCTGTCCTCTTGCTCTTCCATCCCGTGGATGTTCTCATCAGCACGAGCCAAACTGGCTCACTGACCACAGTTAAGTTCTAGCCTGTGGAAGAAGGAAAGGTAGAGAAAGGAACACACATACACACAGTCATTCTAAAGGCAAAAAGTAGAAATTACAAACAGCATTTCTGCTCGCATCCCATTGCAAGAGCTTGGCCATATAGCAACACCTCGCTGCCCAGGGGGCGGAAGGCTGCAGCTGGGGGTGTTGGGGGCAGCAAGAGCTGCCACCGAAGCTCAGGGACTTCTGTTTCTGAAAGGAAGAGGGATGGTGGATAATGGGGGGTAGTTAACAGTCTCAGCCACACTCTCTGGTCTCTAAATTAGCAGAAAGGATGCTTTTGTAAGTGTAAAAATTGATTTTTGTCTCTCAAAAAGTGAAAAAATATAGCTTTGTTTGTTGTTTTCTTTTGTGTCTCCTGCTAAGGGGGTCTTGTTCATAACCTGCAGTATATCTTTTTTGTCATCATAGGAGACTTAGCCAGAGGCCCACAACTGAAGAATTGGAGCAAAGAAATATCCTCAAACGTGAGTATCCAGTGCTCTGCAGTGACTCCTTGTCTAACCATTAACGAGCTTCTTCTAGAGACAATCCATTTATCAGTGGGAAACCTTAGTATATTTATCCACAAATGATTGAAATGGCCCATTCGTATCACATTTATGTGTCATTATTTATATAATTTTAAAAATAGTTTCTTGAAGTTTATATTTCATTTTATGGCTGTGAGCCTGATATCCCCCAGACCACAGCCATGGTCATGACAATTGTTTTTAAGAAAGATGAAACATATTCCATGTATTCTTTCACCCGACTGTTAAATAAAAGAAAATACTCTAGTCGGCTTGCAAATACTTGTCAAAGAAAAGGCCAGAGACTCCACGAGGAAATGAACCAAACATTCCTATATTATTAATAATAATAGAATTTGTTGCCAGGTTTAACAAATGACTCAATTTAAAACAGAATTGTGGTAAAAGCAATTTTTCAATCCATTTCATTTCAATCCATTTCATTTTCCTTTGTTATGATAACTATTTCCCTCTTGAGTTATTTATAATTTCTCAGCCCTTACGGAGTTCTCCATTCATTTTCTAACTTTAGTTTCCCATTTCATCTTTTCTTCTATTTTATTTGACTTGACTTCTCACTCACCAGTCCAGTCATATTTAAATTATTATGGTTCCTATGTTCAAGCTCTAAAATGAGTGGAAGCAGTTTGTTGTGTTGTAGTGTATCCATGTGGTTACTAACTACATTAGTTGTAATGGGTATTTTTTAGTTGGGCTACTGTAGTTTTATCTATTACTATTATCTTTTCCGAATCCAGTTTCAGGAGAGCTTTTTGTTGTATGAAATATCAAAAAGCCGGCGTGGGCAGAACTCCGGATAGCAACACAGTAGTAATGAGCTACTGGCATGCAGTGAATCTCCCTCACCCAGGCCTGATGGAGAGAAGGGTTTTCATAGCATAGTCATAACCCAGTTACAATTACTGAAACAATTCAACAACGAGGACTGAGGAGAGGAATTGCCAGCTTATGGGATTTTTTTCCTTGGAATTTTTTTTGTCTGGCTGTTTGTGAGCATAACTGGGATAGAACCCAGCAAAGGACTTAAGTGTGACCATCCATGTATACAAAAGCCAGTTTGGAGAGGGAAAATGGCATGGCTAAACAAGAGAAAAAAAATGTTTTAGCTTTCTGAAAGATGATGGAAGCAACATCTGATTAACAAAACCAAACCAAAAAGGCTCAGATAATAGGTTCCCGGGAAATATTTGAGTTAACTTTTAGGCAAGCTCAGATGCAGATCATGAGCTCCTAAAACACAGATTATTTTTATTGGATGCCTGATGCAATACCTGGACAAAAAGGAAAAGAGGATTCTGGGTAATTTTTTCTCGCTCCTGTGGGACAAATAGCGCCAAACCATGTTGGTGTTTGGTTATTTAAGGAACCGTATCGTGGATCTAGAAATTCATCGCACATTGATCTTAAGTGCTGTGTTGGCTTTTATCTCCCATTTTCCTGGAGGTTCGGAAAAGAGTGAAATGCCAAAGTCAACTTCAGATTTGACTTCAGCCCTTATTTACTTCCTTTTTAGTTTGTTTAAGCATGCTTTTTCTGGACACAAAAGACACATTTGCAGTCTGGAGAGGCCGATAACTGGCTGAAGATCTCCTGACATAACATTGTAGGGCCAAGTGAAGCAGAAAAGGGACCTGGTGGAGGTCACCCAGAGCACAGCCAGGACACTGTATTTTGCTCTGCTTGCCTTTCAGTCCTTCCATTTGTTTGTATGTCTCGTTGCCAGCTTGTGTTCCAAAGCAGTATGACTGTCTGTCTGGAGAAAAGTCTTTGTGTGACACGGGGTGGTTTTTAAGGGACACTTTCTATAACTAGGTCATCTGTTCTTGATGAATTAGGGAACAGATTCATAAAATAAAATGTTCAGTAGTTCTCGAATTCAAGTCCACCACTAGTTCAATAAATGTAAGTCAGATGACAGTTAATACTGATAGCTCTCATTGGCAACACAGGACAAATTTTATGTCTTGGTATCATTCCTGGTATCACAAACTATGTTATTTATTTCTTTCCAATTTTAGTGCATCTAGCATTTTAAAATATATGTAAAGTTATATTTAGCAGTACACTTTAGAACTAGTTCCTTAAAGTCATTACAATAGAAGTTAAGTTTTGGTGCTCAAAAGGCCAACTTTTGCTGATATTATCAGGAAAGTGATATATATGGAGCACCTTTTTCAGGGTAGGGATAAAAGCTAAAAATCCTCTTATGCTCTGTAGCTGTGATTGTAATTCCAGCTGTATCTTCTATAGGGAAAAGATGTATTAGGCCATTGAGTTATGCATATAACATTTTATATGAAATTTTTTAATCATACAGAAAATTTGAAAGAATTTTACAGTAAACACTCATATCTATCATTTATATTTTTCCACTGACATCTACTTTATCACATCTTGCTCTGTCACAGGTCCATAGCTAGAAAATCTACACGGAAACATGTCAAAGAGACAAGAGAAAAAACAAACCCACAAAAATAGCCTTTTAAAATCCATTTTATCTGAGTTGATACCTCAAGAATGTGATACTCCAGTTGCTGGTGTTTCCGTGTGTTTCTTTGTTCTTTTAGCTCATCCACAAAATGCTCCGGGCAACACTCGCTAGCTAGGCAGCTCCCCTGGGGTGCCCACCCCGTTCAACCTCCTGCATTGTTGCTGCGTTTATGGCCAGTGCTTCCTGTGGCTGTTCTGAAACGCTCACCCTCCCCTTCTCTGGTGAGAGTCACTGAGGGCCAGACTTGTCAGTGAGCCCCATCACGTCCTTCGTGAATATTCCTCCAGCCTATTTTGAGGAACCAGAAAGGTTCACATCCTACTTTATAATGAGCCCTCTAATAAATCCAAAAACAAAAAAGGAGGAAATGTTAAAAAACCTCAGGGAGGTGTTTTTTTTTAACCAAGTTTAAGGTTTAACCTTGAATCTTTGTAAGAGATTTTACAGTAACTATTGAATGAGATTCAGAAGAACAGTCACATTGACTTCCCTCCGCCTCTAACCCTTTTCCTCTAACTTCATTAGAAGTGTAATTTCAAATATGGGACATGTAAGGAAGTCCGCTCCTGATGTTAAAAAAGAATTCCCATAAAGTAAGATCATGTTTATTTAACTCCCATAACTGTAACTGGCCTTTTAAAAAAAAGCTTAACTGGCTGTCACATAGATATTAATATGCTTAAATAAGGCAGATTTTTCTAAAATTCTCTTCAAAGAAATGACATTTTATATATTTCATGAAAACTGGAGCATTTGTTTTAAGTTATATTAGAAATCCAATTTTTGTCTTTGAAAAGTACCTCTAAAAATATAGCATAATCGCTGTAGAGGGATAATTGATTAAGGTGTTTTAAAAGTTATATTTTTTTATTATTAATATTAGAAGCCTGGTCTTGTACAACCCTAGTTTGAATGACGTGAACTGTAAGTTTGGTCTTTGGATTGTGCAGTCCATATGCTGTATCCAACCCCCCAAAGGTAGTTATTGGACCCTAAGGATGTATTTTAAGGGTACCCACAGTATTTTCATAGGAAGAAATCTGAATTATAATCAAATTTGTTTGACATTTGACAGACACTTAATGAAAGCCTACTTACTAAACTAGTTGTTTCTTGTCTTGCCTGGTGATTTCAGTTGATGTTCACTCTTTGTCTAAAAAGATATCAGGCTAATCATTCTCTTTCTTATAAATTAAAGTTACTATTTCAGAAGAGTGTAGAAACTTTTCCCTGTCAAGATAAGGAAAACGAATGGAGATTTAGCATGTTCAGCCAACAAATACAGATGTTGCAAATACTGAATGCTAATAGTTTATTAACAATAAAAATAGTCTTTGTGGTAAGAAGTCTGTTTGAACTTTAAAAATAAATAAAATTATATTTTCAGAGAGACTTCTTGTTCTCCTTTTTAGTTGAGCTTTTACAGTTTTTTTCTTTAGTAGAATTTGTAATAGCACTTTCTAAAAGACAGTCTTTTGTAAGTATTAAAACCCAATGAGTAAAATCTGTGCACATTTACTGAACAAATGATGAACTACAGCAAGCAACAGAGAGAAGTTCATCTAATAAGCAACCATTAAAACCTGAATGGTGTTTATTTCTTTAAAAGTTCTGGACATTTTTTGTTTAATCCTATCCATTGGGCAGCATTCATTTAAGTTGGCCATCAAATTATACTCCTTGGTGAAGTACTAGAGAAAGAGAAGACTTTGGACAGTCAAAGCCATGAGAAAATAAATCCTCTCCACCTACAGTACACTGTAATCCCATTCAGAACATTCTGGTTCAAAAGCGAAGTCCAAAGAAGTGACTACATTCTGCTTCTATGGAAACCAAAGCAGACAAACGGAGCATTTTAGTTGGATTTGATTAGAAATCAGCAACTTGTACATGCATCACATGGTTCTAATTTGTTCTTTTGATGTGTCTCAGATGTTCACATGAAGGCCAGATCCAGAAGCAAATTTTTATCAGAATTCTGATAATCTGTGTTTATAAGCCCATGAGATGATCAGCAATGAAAGACTTTCACCAGAATATGGGCACTCTTGTGGTTTTGTCAGAATAGAACAAGGAATCAACAAGCAAAAAGGGTTACAATTAGTAAATAAACCAGTCCCATAGAAAAAAAATACTATATGTGTATACATGAATTACTGTAATTTTATATATATATAAATTAATGATTGATTTTTCTGCAAATTCTTTTGACAAGGTTTTTAAAATGTTGGTGTGTTTGATCAATATCTGTCAAAGTTATATAATTTTGACCTGATATACTTTTCTGATTATAAAATCATTTATAGTAACTAAGTCTCCATGCTTCCCCTTCCATTAATGAACAGAAAAGAATGAAGAAGAGGAACAAGAAGCAAAAATGGAACTTAAACGCAGACTCAGCAGAAAGGTGAGGAAACTATGACCATTAGTGATTATGTGTATTTTGAGATGTGCTTCATTTTTTAAATGCAAATCAGCTCTCTACAGGTAAATCTGATATTTATGAATAATTCGTGCTGTTAATCCACTAACTGATCATAGAAATTAAAATCAATGCAATGAATACAATATGATTATCTTTATAATTGCATGTTAATTTTGATGTTAAGAATAAAAAGTTTTAAGGTGCATTTAATGATTATGAAAATAACATAGAATCTGTGTGAAAAAATTAAGTGCAAAAGGGAATAAAAAAGAAAAAAAACACTAACTTCATCTATTTAGTTAATCATTATTAACAACTCAATGTTTAGTTTTTTTAAATGCTCACACTCTCCACGTAGCCTTGAAAATATTGAATAAACATCTTGTTACTACTGAAGATTTGCCACTATTCCATATCTGAGCTGGGTGAGAACTGTATTTTTCAGACAATAAGATGCACTTTTTTACCACATTTTTTGCTTCAAAATTTTTTTCCCTATATTCCTCCTCTAAAACCTAGGTGTGTCTGGGGTCCGTACCATAAGACACACCTAGGTTTTAAAAGAGGAAAATAGGGAAAAATTTTTTGAAGCAAAAAATGTGGTTTAAAAAAAAAAGTGCATCTTAATACTCCGAAAAATGCGGTAATTTTTTTAGGTGAACTTCATCATCCAGCCTGCCTACTGCAGTGCTACCCAAATTAACAAATGATTTACCTCAGGCAATTGTTTCCACCATTTATCAAAATGTAAATCTAATGCCAGGGCTATCGCTTTTTCCGTAAGTGTTAAAGTAATAATAGCCTCTGGAAAAATCAAACACTATTGGAGCTTCTGTTTCATTATGAAGCTTTGTTTGGTGATTGTTTGAGTATCCCCTTCACCCAGGAGAAGGCAGGATGAGTAAAGCGTGACATCTGCACTGCCATGTGTGACCTCACCCACAACTTTCTGGGCCGGCTGGCGAGCCTTAGCAAAAGCATCATAAGACAGCTGAAGAAACACTCCATCCCCATGGAAAAGTTAGAGACTGTGTTTTGAGAGGTTTTGGTTTTGATTTTTAGGGGAGAAGATCCTTGATTCATGTCTTTTTTCTCTTCAATACCCTACATGTCAAGTAATTGTCCAGCTGAGAAAGACTAAACTGAATTTCCAGAGATGGCTCTTCTAGCATTCAGTGGGCCTTAGGTGCCACCTACAGATAAGAAGTAGCCCCTCCTCCTTGCTCCAGGCTCACCGCCAACAGGCATATAGTCTTCTCCGTGCATTTGGGCCCTTCCAGGAGGCAACAGAGCCTGTCCTTAACTCCTGTCCCCACCTGTATCCGCTACGTGGAGCTCCCTGTCACAGGTATAGGACGGTCCATATCTCTAAGAGCTACCCCGTCACTGACAGGATCCTGAAGGGCAAGACTGGGTGGAGAATCTCTGACCTGCATGGCCATTGGTCACTTGGCTTCTGGGCAGTCCCCAGAGGCAGGGTTTTTCCACTACCTTAACTCTGCCCAACCTAGAGAGGCAGTAAGAATCTAACAATATAGATGAGACAGTAACTGAGAACATAACAGAACCACTTAGATTCCTTCCTTTGTCCGTTGCCCACCAGGGCTTTATGAACCTAGAAGGGACTAAAGTTGTCATATCTTAGCTCAAGTGGCTCAAGGTGTAGACCCAGGCCTTCTGCAGGTCTTTGAATGCCTTGATGGTTAGAGCATTGACTGAGTTCAGCCTCTGGTTTTACTCAAGAGGAGACCAAGGCCCAGAGAAGGGGATGTTGTTAACCACAACAGCAGAGTGGGTGGTGCCTGTTGACCAAGGGGCCATGTTTCTTTACAATCTCTGCCTTATTTGGGGGCTTGAGAAAAGACCAAGACAAGCAAGCAAATACACACAGGGCTGGGTAGATTACATAGAAAAATAAATTCAAATAAATTCAAATTTGACAAAGACCCCAGGAGGAGTCCACATTGTTAGAAGCATCATAAAGGTTGCAGCTGATTTTAAGTAGTAAGCACCCTACTGAGTGCAGTTCTCCAGGGTGTCCCCCTTCCTTGTTCCTGCAAGTCAGCTTTTGTGGCCAAGATCTTGTAAATGTCAAATCTGGGCCTGGGTGCATAGCCTCTCACGACACAGCGCCTGCAGGCAGACCCCTCCTGGACCATGTCTGTGGCATAACTTTGTGCATTTCTGAATATACGGGTTTCATAAAATAGGAACCAGGATTTTTCTTCTCATGGCTCCCAGTTGCAGGGCTTTTGTCTTGATAATTCAGGCCCCAAACCAGCCCTCCCGTATCTGGATTTTCATTGTGTCTGTGGTGTTCCTGTTTCCTGTGTCAGGGATGGCAGGTGCCTTTGTCACAATGCCAAGCAAGTTGGAGAAAAGAGAGTAATGCAGACGGTTGCCAAAGACTGTGACCTACCTAACAACGACGATTTTTATAGTCTCAAAATTAGGGCACGCTGCTTTCTAGTTCTTATTAGAAAATCCCCAGATGCTGCTGCCTTTTTTTTTTCTTTTGATATCTGAAAGTGACCTTATTTAACCATAACTTCGAAGTTCTCCATAGAAAACTTGCCACCGTGAGGCTGTAAATGGTTTACTGAACCCGTCCTTTGTCCCCACTCGCCTGCAGCTCAGCCTGAGACCCACCGTGGCAGAGCTGCAGGCCCGGAGGATCCTGCGGTTCAACGAGTATGTGGAAGTCACCGACTCCCCTGACTACGATCGCCGGGCCGATAAGCCCTGGGCCAGGTTGACGCCCGCAGACAAGGCAAGAACTCCAGTGGCTTAGCCACGACTTCGCTTATTTATGATTGTTTTAGTAATATCAATGAAGTTCTTTCAACTAAGTCTCAGGAAAAAAACTGTAATTCTCATAGTATCAGAAAATACTACATTTTGGTCTCAGGGCTGTCTCTGGGGACTTGTTTTGTTTCAATCTTAGAAAGACCTGGCTTCAGCTCAGTTACTTTCCATTGTTGGCCCAACCCAGCACCATGCGGCTTCAGTCCCACTGCGTCAGCCCACCTCTTTCTGTCCCATATCTTTCACACTAGTACGAAGAGTTGTTAGGCCTAAACGCTGGTCTTCTTTGCATAGAAGAGAGTTAAGATTATTGTACATGTGTTTCACTAAGACAGAGGGTCTTAATTAAATGTTTCCCCTTCTCAGAACAATCTCTTTAGATAGTAAGAGAAGTAACTCTTGGAGTAAAACTATGGTCATTCTTCAGTGAACTTTTTACAATGAGGTTTGCATTTCTCTCATTGGCTGTAGTCACAACTTGCTGACACATTATTTTCAAGCAACCAGTTCCTATAATTTCACATCACATTCATCACCTGCAACTGGCTCATCGTGTCTAATCACAAACTGACACACACAACAGGGAGATCGGAGGCAATTATCTGTATGCATTAGGCTCCGAAGCTCACTTTTTTAGAACAAGCAGAGGACGTGAAGTAAGAAGGCAGATGCATGAGCCTCGTCTTTGTCCCTTCATGCCCATTTGATATCTGGCGAGTGACTTGATCTCCATTGCATCATTTGAGAGATGAAAGTCTTAAAGTGGTTTTTGGATTATCTACTGCTTTTCAACAAATCACTGCAAAATATGGTGACTTAAAACAACCATCATTTTGTTCACAATCGTTTTAGGCAGGAATTCAGGAAGGGCTCAGCTTAGCGGTTCATTTCTGGTCCATGCATCATCGAGTAAGGTGGTGCCTGGGGTCACAGAATCCACTTCCCAGAGGGCATCTCCACCAGCTCGTCATTGCCTTGTTGTACCTTATTGCTCTTTGGCCTCTTTCTGTATCCATAGGGCATGGCATCCTCCAGCGCCTCTGCTTCAACTCTGGGTTTCTCCCAGTGTGATTCCCCGAGGGTGGGCACATACATTTTACATGGCAGCTGGCTTGCAAGGAGGAGGACACAAGAGATGCTAGGTCAGTTCAGGGCCGTATCCCGCACTGGCACAGCCTCACCTCTGCTCTGTGCTCTGTTGTTAAAGCAGTTGCAGGTCTCACGCAGATCCAGGGCTGGAGAGAGAAACCCCACCTCTTGGTGAGGGAATGTCAAGGTCACATTGCAGCTGAGCAGGTGGGATATGGCCATAAATATTGAATTTATGTCTAGGTTTATGGTCATAAGTGAATTGTGTGATCAATATAAGGAATGTGTAGCACACAATTTACAATTAAAAATAAACTATTCAGCACCCTTTTTGTAGCTTCCACATTGCAATTGATTCTCAAAGAATGCCTTCATTGATTTTTGCCAGACTCTGATCGCTAGCCAACCTGCCATTGAGAATAGGGACTTTGCCTTATCTGTCCTTGTGGTCCTTCACTGACATTATCTTCTTACCCAGAGTAGACTCTCGATAGATGAAAGTGAGTTGCTCCTCACAATCACAAACTAAAATTTAACTCATTTTTTAAAAATATCACAACAATGACATTTTATTGAATACTTACAGCATACAAGGCACTTTCAAATAGGCTCTTAATGGATTTTCATAATATTGGGAGGAATTCTCACCCCCATTTCCCAGATGAGACCACAGGTTTGGAGTAGAGTAACCCTCCAAGGGTCACACTGCTGCTGAAGGTGCAGGTAGACTAGACTCTGTGACTTCTGGCGCCAAGTGCACTCCTTTGCACTTCTTCCACTGACATGAGAATGTGCAGAGGACACATTTTAAATGAGCACAGAGACGGGAGTCTCTGCCACCGTCCATATTAAAATACCTCATTACAAGGAAGACTTTTTGATAGATGTGAATTGATAAGGAGTACGGAGCATCTTCACTATTTCAGTTCCTGGTTCTAGGTACCAAAGCTTTCAGTGATTAAAACAAAGTATCCTTGCTCTTGATCTCACTTGGGCAGCCAGAGCTAGTCTTATCACAGGGGACCCAGGCCCACAGATATCTCTGCTTGCTTCATCTCTTCCAAAAATCAGTAGCAGGGATTGCTTTTTAAAAAAATCACCCCTGCCTTCACCTCCCAGCCACAAGCTCCCCTTAGAAACTATAGGGGCTGAGGGGTATATTTGAGGAGACAAGGCAAGCTGTGACACAGAATTCAGCTGTCACACTGGAAGGGGCGCTGGGAGAAAAACTTGTGTATTGCAGAGTGCCAGTGACAGGAGAGAGCCAGAGAGAGGCCGCCTTTTCCCACCACAAAGTAGATTTTCTCTTCTGTCAGCAAAGTAATCCTCTGTGGTTTGTGAAGTCGTTCTGTGTTGTAGCTGAAGAGTCCATTTTCAAAGGCATCATGGAGCTGTTTTTATTGATAAATATACATTTTTACATGAGGGCACTATTCTTGTAGAAAAGCTAGGATGTAAAGAGAAGCGCAAAGTTGAAACCAACACCCATTTGTAATCCAGCCACTGTGGTCAGTAGGTAACTAATGTGGACATTTTGGTGAGTCTCTCAGCTTTGCAGCCTAAAGAACCCAAGCATCTCTTTAAACCACACCTTTCAGGTGACCTGGATTATGTGTGCATTGGTAATTGCATAGTCAGTGGTAATAGTTAGTGTTCTGTTCCACTGGAGTAGCTTTTCAGTGCTGTGCCGAAGTGGTCTCAACTTTCAGCGTTGAAGAGTAAATGGCAGCTGCCTTCTTTGTAGCCCTGTGGCAGCTCTGACCAGACCCACGTCCCCGGGTGTGGTATGAAATGCAGAACTTTTGTAGGGAAACGACATTGTTTCTCAGACAGCCTGTGACCCGCACTGTCCTTTTGGTCATCGGCGGGGTTGGGGGGGTGTAACTCATAGATCAGACCCCATGGCGAGTTTAGGAAAAGCCCCCTTCCTCCACCTTGTCAGTGGCACTTGAGAGAAATCCATGCTGGTTTTAGTTAGCGTGACATGACATCCATCATACCTTTACCTAGTAGAAACTGGGAGTCCCCTGCTCTGCTGATGCAGTGTATGCTGGGGAAACATGTGACCTAAGTGACAGTTCTGTTTATCTACTTTTCTCCTATTTAGGCAGCAATAAGGAAAGAACTAAATGAATTTAAAAGCACAGAAATGGAAGTTCATGAAGAAAGTCGACAGTTTACAAGGTAGGTAGACAAAATTCAGTTTAACATATCAAAAATGATTATGATGGTAAACTTTATGTTATGTTTCATGTATTTTATGACAATTAAAATTTTAAAAATATACAGTTTAGCATAATACCATTGAGTGAACATTTCTAAAATTAAGATGTCTTATTTTTTTTTCAAAGAAGTCTGAATCATTCTAAAGAACAACATTTTGGTTTCTTTTTGGTTTTATTTTCTGGGCCACAAGACAAGCACCAGTACCCCTAACTCTGCTTTTGAAGAGACTCAGTTAAAGTTTTATGCCCAGAACAGATGCTGGTGAGAGCAGGCTGGACACCTACATGTCTGCTTTGCACTCAAAGTAGACATAACTTAGGATAGAAACTCAACCTTCAGAATATGTACAATAACTTAAAGTAGGAACCCAGTGTGTAAGGGGGCCACAGAAGCTCACGACAATCCTACCGTTTTCCTCCCAGCGCCATTCAGTTTAATAGGCCCTGAGTGATTGTGTAGTCCAACCTCCACCATTCACAGGTGCTCCGTATGTTTCGCTCTCACAGGTTTACGTGCTTTGCTTTATATAGCAGGTGTGTTCCTAAAAATGTGCATGCCAATCGAATCTTTAAAACTCGAGGTGTTGAAGAGCATGCCAGGACAGACAATCACATGAAGAATTCTTTCTGGAAACGTGTACTGGTCCCCTAGGCTGGAAACAGCCTCTGGAGGGCAGCCACACATTGTGGTGCTGCTGTTTCTGCAGTGGCTCCTGCTGATGGTGGCGTTCCGTGCCGGGGAGCACGTCACCTGATGAAAGTAGGATTTCATAGCAAACCCCTTCCCCGAGGTGCATGGGGCCTGCCTTGCTCCATAGATATGGCTCCTGTAACTATAATGCCAGGTATGCAGAAGAAGCTCCCCTTTCTTTTAGCGATACCTCTTTTGTTTTCTCTAGTAGTATTTATTTATTTTGTGTGTGTGTGTGAATGCATGTAGGACTTTCAGACATCCTGAAGGTATAGGACTTTTCTCTATTCGAAGGCTTCATCCTATCATAATCTACACACAGTCTCCCTACAGGTCAACCCCAACCCAAACCTGTGTCCTCTCTTTTTCTCCCTTCCACTTCTGGGGTCAGGAAAAGTTCATGCTAATATCTGACACCTGTGGTCACACTTCTCTAGGAGAGTTGATTATAATAAGGTGGTCGGATACTTATGGTGACATCAAGCCAGCTGGGACCTCCAGGCAACTGGGAAAATGGCATGTTTTTGTGTCATTGAGTCCCGATCCCTGAGATGTAGTGACAGTATGAACCCAGTTTTTGTAGTTTTCCTAGAAATTATAGTATTTGGTCACCTCATTTCATTTGATGGCATTATATAAAGAATACATCACAATAAAAAATAATTAAACTTTTAAAATGCCTTCTTGTGGAAGTCTACATTTTATGGGTTGGGGCAGGGAAGCATTTATACCAAAAGAGGTTCTTTCTCTTCTGTTGTACATGATAAACAAGTAGAAAGAAAACAGGATGCCGGAGGAATTGAAGGTCATTTTTTTTTTAGATATGTATTTTTAATGTGAACAAATAATATAGTCTAAATAAACATTCAAACAGTGGAAAAACTTTACTTTGTCAAGTGCAAATGAAAACTCCCTTCACTCCTTCCCCAGTTTTGTTCCCGTTCTCAGCAGTAAGCGCTGGTGAGATTTCAGCGTAGCTCCCCCTAGACGTCTTTTCTGTGTACGTACAAACCTGCGTGTGTGCGCTCATCTGCGTGTGGGTCCGCCTTCTCAGTCACACACAAAACAGCCTCTGGGGAATCCTTCCGTATAGTAGATGTCTCATTCATGACTCGATGGTGTGTCATAGATAACATGTACCCTATGTTATTGACCAGTTTATTCTATTGCTAGATGTTTATGAAATTTTTCCGTTTTTTGTTAGTGGAACAATGCTGTTTTGACTTTCTTTATGAATGTGTCTTTGGGCACCAGTATTTCTGTATTAGTCCCGTAAGTAGATTTGCTAGGTCACTGGATGCATTTTTTACATTTTGAAGATGCTACTCTGTGACCCAAGTTCACGAGCGTGCCTGGTCTCTTCACCTTCATCAGCATTTGGGAGTGATGATGGCAGTGAGGGGTCTGTTATCTAAAGAATGGACATTGATACCCTATTTCACTGATTTCTATAAAGTTGGACATCTTGACATACCTTTATGTTAATTTTTATTCTTTGATGTGTTGTAATCAGTTTTCTTTTGGGTCGTTTATCTCTTTCTTATAGATTAGTAAGATGTCAGACACTGTGGATATCTGTCCTTTACCACATGTCACAGTACTTTCCCCCAGTTTATCGTTAACATCTTAGTGCTTATGGCCTTTTGTTTAAATGTTTGCATATTTAAATTTGACTGTATTGTAATTTTTTTTACTGTTTGATGCCATTATCTTTTAATGTATTTTTTTTATTTTAATCATTGTTCAAGTACAGTTTTCTGCCCTCCACTCCTATTCCAGCCCATCCACCCATTCCTCTCCACTTCCTTCCCATTACTACACCCCGCCCCACTAGTTTTTGTCCATGTGTCCTTTAAATTTGTTCCTGTAAACCCTTCCTATTCTCCCCCTGAAATTCCCTCTTCTCTCCCCTCTGGTCACTGTCAGCCTATCCCCTATTTCAGTGTCTTTGACTATATTTTGCTTGTTTCTTTGTTTTGTTGTTTAGGTTCCTGTTAAAGGTGAGATCATATGGTATTTGTCTTTCACTGCCTGGCTTGTTTCGCTTAGCATAATGTTCTCCAGCTCCATTCAAGCTGTTGCAAAGGGTAGGAGCTCCTTCTTTCTTTCTGCTGCGTAGAATTCCATTGTGTAAATGTACCATAGGTTTTTTGATCCATTCATTGACTGATGGGCATCTGGGTTGCTTCCAGCACCTAGCTGTTGTAAATTGTGGTGCTATGAACATTGGGGTGCAAAGGTTCTTTTGTATTAGTGTTTTAGGGTTGTTAGGATATAGTCCCAGCAGTGGAATTGCTTTGTCAAAGGCAGATCCATTTTTAGTTTTCTGAGGAAGTTCCATACTGCTTTCCATAGTGGTTGTACCAGTCTGCAGTCCCACCAGCAGTGCACTAGGGTCCCCTTTTCCCCACAACCTCTCCAACACTTGTTGTTTGTTGTTTTGTTTATGATGGCCATTCTGACCAGTGTGGAGTGGTATCTCATTGTGGTTTTAATTTGCATCTCTCTGATAGCTAACGATATTGAACATCATTTCATGTGTCTTTGGATCCTCTGTATGTCCTCCGACTGTATTGTAATTTTTAATTCATTGTCTTGTGTCCTATGGAGGACAGCCAAGATTATAAAAGTATTACCTTTAATTTTGACACATGCTTTTTCTTTACACTCAGATCTCTCAGCCATTGGGCATTTATCTGGGCGTGTGATTCAAAAGAGTAAACTAGCTTTGCTTTGTTCTAAATCAACAGTCAGTTGTTCCACTGCCACTTTTCTCCCCCTCGATGAGAAATTCTTCTTTTCATGTACACATGGGTCAGTTTCCAGATTCTGGAGATTGCGCTAGCAAGCTGTTGTGTATCCTTGCACTGTGTCACACTGTTTAATTAGAATGGGTGTGTAGTGTATTCTTGTATCTGGTAGGGTATTTTCTCACCTTGAAAATTCTGTTAGCTATTTTTCTGCATTTACTCATCTACAGACTTTCAGAGTATGCCTCTTGTGTTCCATAAAATAGTCTACTAATATCTTCATTGTTTTAGTAAATATTAATAGATGCAAATAAGGATGAGCTGAATTTCAAAAGAAAACTATAGACTTTTTTTTTGGTAATAGCTGATATTACAGATAAGCTTTAAAAGTTTTCCAAAAAATATATTGATTAACACTATTTCAAATGTCTTTCCAGATAAGGAAAAATTAAATATTCATATCGCTAAGATAAAGATGGCTTGCTTAAGTATTCTTAAAAACTTGGCAGTAGAGCAAGTGTCTACTGCTGTTTTTCCATTAAACTATATTACATCATTAGACTTGTTTTCCAGTACAGAAATATTTTGGCTTTGAAACTTATAAATATCATGCTTATGATTTCCAAATTGTTTTCAGTATTTCCTATTTATTTTTTATTGAATTTATTGTGCTGACATTGATTAATAAAAGAGTACAGGCTTCAGGGCTACAGTTCTGCAACACAGCACCTGTGTCTGATACTGTGTGTTCGCCACCCCACGCCACGTCCCCGTCCGCCATCGCTTACCTCCCTCTACCCGCTCCTGCCTCCCCCCACCCCTTTTCGTCAGTATATGTCTTAAGAGGAAATGTTTTGGTAAACACTGCTGTGTCTAATTCAGATACTACAAGAATACAATAGTGTTTTACATCAGAAAATTGCCCGTGTAGATGATAGCGGTGCTCTCAGCACCAGTCACCCGTGGAGAGAATAAACATGCTGTTGATCATTACCTAGCCTCTTAAGTGCAGCACAGATATGGAACAGCTCGCTTATTAGCTCTTCTTATTAGCGTCAGACGTTACCTCTTTATAACAAGTAAACCTTTCTTTACATCTAAATCTGTTATTAACTCCCTGGGCATTTGGGCATGTTAAAGGGTTGAGAGGGCCCTGCTGCCTCTTCCAAGGCACCTCTTTATCCAGAGGTAATCTGCTACATTGATGTATCTATCAGTCAGCACTGGAAGGATCCATTCCCACACATAGCTTCTTTTGCTTCTGTATCTCTGCAGAGACACAAAAAGCTGATGGCTTTGGTTGCCGCTGGAGAGGGGAACTGGGTGACTAGGACCAGGCATAGGAGGGATTCTGTTCACTGCTCGCCCTTCGAACCTTTTGAATTTTTGAAACATAAGACTCCATTACCTAATAAAAAAAACCACACACTTAAAAGAAAAATAAAGGATCTATTCCCTATTGTTTCTATAAGTGCGGATTCCATCATGATGACTTTTCTCAAACAATGTGCTGGTGCT